TCATATGTTGCATGCTCAAGAGTAAGAAATCCTAAGAATTTATTCTTTGCTGTTAAAAAGAAGAAAAGAAAAAAATAAATTTTCTTAAAAAATATTGTTTACCATGAAGTCATATAAAATGAGATTAAATTAAAGAAATTTATTAAACCACAAAGTAGGGTTTTTGTGAAAGTATTTTTCCAAACAAATCAACTTATTCAAATTTCATCGATTGGTTTGTGAAATTGAATGAAACGTAGAGTTTGCAAATCTTGACAAAAAATGTTAGCAGTAATTTCAACAATGCTAAATACTGTGAAGATTAACACATGTTAGCAGGTTTAAAAAAAAATTCTAGTTTCTGTAATATTTCTCTTCCCCACCCTCACTCTCAGGGTTATATTCCCCCCCACTCCCTCAGGGTTATATTTCCTCTATTGCCCTAAAAGGGAGAGAGTTAAGGTTATTCCCAGATAATCTGAATAAACTAGATTTTTCCCTTTTTTTTTTTTTTCTTATGTATGTATGAGATTCCTGCTTTTAAAATAAAGCCATATGTAGCATTTCACCTAAGAGTGGGGCAGAGAAGTCGTATAAATGTTGGTTATAAATAAAAGTATTTATGAGTTATTCGTCAGGATTTTAAGTATAATTTTCCTCAAAGTTTGTTTCTAGTGTCTGTCTTGGTTGAGTTTTCAATTTGAAAGAAACAAGCAATTTTATTTTTCTACAAGAGAGAATTTTTTTCTGCAAAGGTCATAGATGTTTCTTTCTGCTCATGCTACATTTGTATTCACGTAGAAATCAAAAAAACATTTACAAGAAAGACCATGTGTTTCTCATTTGTTGAAAAAGTTCAAATATAATAAATGTTAAAAAACCAAGTGATTACAAAAAATGTTTTGGCTTTAACAAACTTAAAAATATACTTCTAGCTTGTATTTTATGTTTATTAAAACTCCACTGTAAATTCACTTTTCATGCACAGAAATGTTTTCTTTTTCAAACACATTCAAAACATTTATGTAAAGCTCATGTTATAAGAAAACTAAGCAAACATTTTGATATTTGCATGCAGCAAAGTACACATGGACTCATTTGATATAACCTTTTATGAACCAAAGTTGGAAAGGGTCTAGTTGAATCAAACAAAAACTAGTTCAGGAGGAAAGATTATGGTTTTCTGGGATGGTGAGGGTATTTTTCTAGTTGAGTTTTTAGAGGGGGGGGAGTAATATCCCCTCATTACAAAAGTATTTAAAGAAAGTTAGCTAAACATTTAATAAAAAAAATGAACTGTGAAAAGCTTCTTTCCACCACTGTGATGATTCTGCCCATTCGTCTCATCAAAAAAGGAGAATATTGCAAGAATTTGGATCACAAATTATTAGACATCCACCTTCCAGTCATGATTTACCTTCTGAGATTTTTTAAGTTATCCATTTTGGAACTATTGATGATGTTAAAAAAAGACAAAAGGCTGCTTTGACAAGGTTAAATTCTCAGGAATTTAAGTTCTACTAGGATTGTATAAATGTATGGTATCATCCCTTGCACAATGATGCTAATGGAGCATATAAGGTGTGTTCAAAAAATATCTGACTTTATTTTTTCCTGACAAAACTAATGCCATGTAGACAAAATCCTTCGCATGGGAGGTGACCCTTCCTGTACATATGTGACAATTTTTGCACTGGTAGGCCAAATCGGTTCTTGACGGTTGTAACTAGAGTACAGATGTGTAGTGCATGCTAGTCAGATTTTCATTTTCATGCAAGATGACTGAATGCATCAAGCAGAGATATTTCACCAAGCTTTTCTAGTCAAGAACAACATACCATTTGTTCGACAAGCTCCTTACTTTCCCAACTTGGCACCGAGTGACTTCTGGATTTTCCCCAATCTAAAAACCACAAGATTTCTATGCAGAGTTGCTTCTACTGCTCTGTCAGCACCTTGGGAATGAATTTTGCCAACACTTTCTGCATGCACTAGTCCTCCATTAAAATGGAATGCACTTATACTATTTACATTGTTTGGACTATCGTCCTCATCTTTGTTGCCATATTTATCACAACATTTCAGGTGTTGTATGCTTCAGACTTCTTCAGGTGGTTAGAATGTCGAACTGAACCCTTTATTTCGCTCACTGGGGTAGACAGTTCTAGTTCCACATGCCATGTCTAATGGATGTCAGACACATGGCACAGTGGATAAAGGCGTTAGTTAAATCCAGTGACAGGACCCAAAGAGTGTGAGTTTAAATACCTGGTTAAGGCAGTGGAGAACTTGGAGAGGGGAAATTAACAAGAGATAACTGATAACAGATGTCTTTTTTTTTTTGGACTGAGAATTTTCAGGGCGAAAACCATTTTTATAAAATGTAAATAACAAAAAAATTGAAAATAAATTTTACTTTAATGTTGAAAAAAACGTAATGAAAGCCACAATTTCATTGGATGTGATCGAAAATGAAAACGTTGTGACTGTGTCAAGTTCCAGCTTTCTTGGCAGCAACTGTTGTGATGTGGCTTCACTCTTTGAGACCTTGACTGTATGCTACTAGATTGGCAACTAGGTCTCATCATTTACTGTTGAACTAGCTAGTTTTAACAGTATGTTCTATTCTAATAGTTTCTTTTATTGCACTTCTAACCTGTGAAACTTTCTTCCATTTTTTTTTTTTTTTTACTTCCCTGCTACTAACAGTTTTCAATAATTTTAATGCAATGCTAATCACTGTCTTCCTGAGATCTGTTCTTTTATTGTCTTTTCTTGTCACCAAAGTCTTCCCGTTCTCTTTCATTCTCAGTAACCCTTTATGTCTTAGTGGCATTATCGCCATCATCTGTCTTCCTGAAATCTGTTCTTTTATTCTCCTTTCTCCTCACTAAAGTCTTCCCGTTCTCTTTCATTCTCAGTAACCCTTTATTTCTTAGTGGCATTATCGCCATCTTCTGTCTTCCTGAAATCTGTTCTTTTATTCTCCTTTCTCCTCACTAAAGTCTTCCCGTTCTCTTTCATTCTCAGTAACCCTTTATGTCTGGCATCTTCTGTCTTCCTGAAATCTGTTCTTTTATTCTCCTTTCTCCTCACCTTTTCATTCTGTCTGTCTTAGTGGCATTATCACCATCATCTGTCTTCCTGAAATCTGTTCTTTTATTCTCCTTTCTCCTCACTAAAGTCTTCCCGTTCTCTTTCATTCTCAGTAACCCTTTATGTCTTAGTGGCATTATCACCATCATCTGTCTTCCTGAAATCTGTTCTTTTATTCTCCTTTCTCCTCACTAAAGTCTTCTCATTCTCTTTCATTCTCTTGTGTCTTGGTGGCATTATTGCCTTATGAAATGATTAAAAACATATACAAGTATAAAACATGAACAGACTGACAAGTTTTCATAAATTTATTGATACTTTTTTTTATACACAACTGTTTTCCTCACCCAAAGTTGTGTTCTAAATATATTTTTACTATATTTTACTTTTAGCATTTTTTTTATTATTATTATAAGTATCTTTGCAAACTTCATTTATGTTTTGACCATTGCTTTGAGAACCAATGCATCAAGTTATTAGTAATAGTACTTCTCTAGTTTATATTGATACTATGTTTAAAGCTACATTGATTTATAATTATTGTCAGTTTGAAAAAAATTCAGGGATGAGTAATCACTTCAAAATTAGAGCCTCCTGTTTTATTATGTTAACAAGTAGACATTTTTACATTTCAAATGAAATGGAAAAGAATAGAAACAGTTACTTAATAAGTCCTTCTTCTCTTTGTCTGAATAATGGTAAATACAAATTTTTATATCTATATTTAATGCCAAAGAATTAGAAACAGTTACCTAATAAGTCCTTCCTCTCTTTGAATAATGGCAAATAGACATTTTTATATCTCAAATAAAAATGTCAAAGAATTAGAAACAGTTACCTAATAAGTCCTTCCTCTCTTTGAATAATGGCAAATAGACATTTTTATATCTCAAATAAAAATGTCAAAGAATTAGAAACAGTTACCTAATAATAAGTCTTTCTTTTCTTTGTCTGAATAATGGTAAATAGACATTTTTATATCTCAAGTCAAAGGCCTAAGAATTAGTAACAGTTACCTAATAAGTCCTTTCTTTCTTTGAATGATGGCAAAAATACCTAATGATTTTAGATGATTTATAGCAGAGTGAGGATGAAGAGAGATGTTAAGGAGTCAAATGTTGCATGTAGCATTGCTCAGAATGTTTAGGGAGCCATTATTATTTACATCCTGAAAGAACATAGCACATAAAAGAAACAGTTTCTCTTCCCAACAATAATATGTAATTATTTTGCCTTGTTACTGATAGTAGTCTGCAAAAATGATATCTGACATGAAAGTGCATATGAAGCAAAGATGTCTCACTAAATTCCTCCATGTGGATAAACTTTTGCCCTCTTTGACATTCATTGATGTTTGTTAAACCTTTTGGATAATGCATTTTTTCAGCTGTTTTGATAATAGCAATTCACAGCTGTCCACTCACAAAATGAAGAGTGCCTTGGATGTGTAGAAATGGGGTTTTGCAGCTGAAAACTTACTCTATTCAACAGTGTTTTTTTTATTTTTTGCTCCCTGTATCTGTTGTAGTTTTTTGTGGAAATAATCAGGAAGTATTACTTTTGGTGTATTTTTTTTGTACTAACTGAAAGTAATTTATAGAAATTTTACAAATCTAATTGAAACAATTGTTATACTTTTTTTTCTGTAACTGCTTCTTTTTTTTTTTTTTTTTTAACTTTATTTCTTAGGTGGAAGAAGCAACTCAATCTGTGACCCAGTCTGACAGTGGGATCCGTGGCCGCTTCATGGGCAGCGCTGAAGAAGAATCTGATTGAATGAGCTCATCAACAATGTTGATGGTGTTTGTAGTAGTGGTCACACTCAACTGATTCACAAAAAAAAAAAAAAAGCTGCATCAACATCAACAACATCAGGATCAACTTCACCTGCTATAGACATTACAAAAATCTCCCTTACAATATAGTACTGTCTTCTTTTTTTTTTTTCTCTCTCTCTTTTCCAATTGTTGGGCGGAATCTTCCCCTCTTCCCACTTAACCTTGTTGATCAGCAACAGCTGTTATTCTCTGGGTTAAATCTATCATTAACTTTGTCATATGGCATGCTTGTATGTTTTATTGGTAAAGTCATCCCCACCCCCCTGTAATATTTTTCTCTCTCTCTTAACAATTTATGATTATAATTCTTTAACTATTTATATATGTAAATTTATGTCAGACATTGTTAGATTCTGCCCCACCCCCGTCTGGGATTTTTTTTTTTCTTTAAAATTACTACTGATAGATTTTAAAAGTTTTATCATAATTGTCAGTTATTTGTATTCTTTCCTCTTATCTCTTTTTTTTTTCTTGCTCTTTCTCTCCTCTCTTCTTTTCTTCCCTTATCTCTTTTTCTTCTCCTCTTTCTCTCTTCCTTCTATTTCCTTTCCTATCTCTTTTTTTCTTCTCCTCTTTCTCTCTTCCTTCTATTTCCTTTCCTATCTCTTTTTTTCTTCTCCTCTTTCTCTCTTCCTTCTATTTCCTTTCCTATCTCTTTTTCTTCCCTCTTCCTCTTTTCCTATCTCTTCTTTTTCTTCACCCTTCCTCCTCTCTCTTTTCCTACTTCCACTTTTTCTTCACTCTTCCTCCTGATTCTTTTCCTACCTCCTCTCTTTCTTCACTCTTCCTCTTCTCTTCCTTCACTTTCCTCTTCTCTTCCTTAATTCTTCTTTCTTCCCCATTCTCCTTTTTATCTTCCTCTGTCCATTTTTCCTTCTTCCCCGGCTCTCTTTTCTTCCTCCTCCTATCACTCTTTTCTCTCTTCCCATGTATCCTTTCTTCCTTCACTTTCCTTTCTCCCCACTCAACTTTCTTTCTCTGTTCTCCTTTCTCTCTCTCTCTCTCTCTACTCTCCTTTTGTCTTCTATTTGTTGTCTTTTTCTCAACTTTTCTATTTTCTTCTTTCTACTAGAAAATAAAATAAAATGCTTCTCTTTTCTTCTCTTTATTCTGACATTGCTATTTCTTCAACTGATTTTTCTTCTATTTTTTCTTCTTCCTTTATACTCTAGTTGAAGTCAAATCATTGCAAGCTAAAATGTATCAAACTGATTCTAGTTTCATTTCTCTAAAATTTTAAATTAAAAAGACTGACAAAATCTTGCTCTTGACTTGCATGGTATGATGTTTAAAGTGTATCTTTCAGAATATGTTTAAAGAAAATTTGTTCTCAACAAATCAACTCTCATATTTTGAACTACGAATGGATCAAATAATTGCAATGTGCTTTTCTTACTTCAACACATTCTTTTTTCTTCTCTTTTTTTTCATACATCCTGATCATCTCCAGTTTCTTCTAACTTTTTTCTATATCTTCTCGAGTCTTGCATGTTTGCAGTAAAATTATATATTTACAATTTTTATAGGAGTAAGAAAGCATAAAAGTTATAAAAAAAAAAATTATAAAATTTAAAACCAAAAAAAAAAAAGAAAAAAAAAAAAAGATAATTTTCAAGTTCAAATTTTAAATTTATTCAGTTTTTTTTTTAATTATTTTAAGTTAAATTAGAATTAGTTGAAATTAAAAAGAAAAAATTCTAATCGTTTTCTTTTTTTAAAATTTCTGGGGTAAGGAGGGAATTAGTAATATAGATGAAAAGAAAACAGATTACTTGATAGAAAAATGTCCCACTTATTATATTAAATGTAATCGTCCTCTCTTGCCTTTTAGTGTTTGTTATGCTATATAAGATTGTTTATAAAATCAATCATGCTATCATGCTCTTAATTCAAATCCCCATTCAAAGGAAGATCTCCGGCCACAAGACACTGTAGGAAAACAAAAAAGCAAACTTACGTAAATTTAATTTTTTTCCCTCGATCCATTGTAAATATGAAGAAAAAAATTCTGTTATGATCTATACACCACTGTTCTTTTTTTTTTTTCTTTTTGTTAAAAATCTCACTAATTTATCACAGACAGCTCAAAATAAACAAGGAAAAAAAAGGAGCACCTGCAGTTACCAATTCTCCAACCTGAATCAAAGATATCATGCTCAGGCAACTTTGGGCATAAAAGATAAGAAAAAAAGGGATGTCATGTCTGGTTACTTAAAGATATCCGATATGCATTTTGATTTGGTAAGATTGGAAGAATGGAACTGAGAGAATCATTTTCTGAGATCCCTTTCAGAAAATGAAGAATATTTTTTCTCTTCTAAAAGCTAGAACAACAGTGAATTTAGCACCGGTTCTTGTTGTTCATGAGGAACTAACCCCAAAAAAAAAAAAAAAAAACTCTTTTGCCGCACATTAACTGACAAGCAGACATTCATGTTTGCAAATTGTAAATTGGATTGAATTTCTTTTCAAAAATATTTAAATAGTTTTGGTAACCACTAACCATTTGGGCAGCCTTATAAAAATAATAAACCAAACACAAAAAAAAAAAAAAAATTAGTCATTTGTAAAAATCAAAAGCACCTTCAATCAAATATATATATATATATATATATATATATATATATATATATATATATATAATCTCTTTTTGTTAAAAGCACTTAAATATCTTTTGCAGTTTTGACACATGTCGTCTTTTAAACCTGCAAAAAACACCCATCAAAAATTGGTGGGTTTGAAAAATATTCAAGATACCATTCTTAATGAACAGAAAATGACCATGTCCCTCTCGCTACCCATCAGTTGAAACTATCACCTCTGACCAGTTGGCAGTTGCGCTGTGGAACATATGGGTAATGAAACCTCCCCCACTGCCAGGTGAGAGGTGAGATCATCAAAAGTAAGTATCTTCTGTGACATCTGTCACTGTGCACAAGAAAGAGACTCTTGGGATTATGTATGATTGCAAGAGCCACAATAAAACTTTTACTTGATATGGTAACTCTCAGGTCTGCTTTATGATTGTACGCTCTTTAGAAATGAAAATAAACGTGCAATGAAAATATTGAGCTGTCAGCAAAAAGGTAAAGCCTACAATGTAGTGCTTTCCTGTCTATTGTTCTCGAAGGATAAATTGTATGTCTTATCTATGCATATTGATTAGCATGTGGATTTGCAACAGAAATATGTAGAATTATAGCTTTTTTTTTTTTTTTTTTTTTTTTTTTTTAATTCTGTTAATTTTATTTCCAAAATTTTTTTTAATCATTTCACCCCAAGCCAGACAATAAAGCCACCAAGATGCAAGGGGATTAATGAACATTTACTGATTTATTGTTTAATGCTTTATTTGTTATTCTAATTATACAAATCCTTGCACTTGGCTAATTTTTTTCTTTTTAACAAAGAAAAAAAAATCCTTGAACGTACAAAATTTGACATTAACAGTAGTTTAAGAAACATTCCAAACTTTTTGTTTTTTCATAAATTGAATTTTCAAACCTCCCTACAGATGGAAAATTTTAATAACTGAGTTGATATAACATTTTCTATCTCAGATAAAAATCTGAATTTTATTTCATATTTGTTCATCTATTTTCTATTTATTAACTTTGACTTTTTTCAACTGAATCAAGATTACTTATTTTTACTTATCTTTTTGTTGTAATTGTTTAAAAAATACAACATGAAAAAAGTTGGAATTAAAATTCATTGTGAGAACAAACTAACAGAAAATATATTTACAAAAGAAAAATTCCTCTGAGCTGTCCACAATGGTTTCATTTTTCTTTAGTCTTGAGTGTCTTGCCTATGAATATAAACCCCCACTAAAAAGGAGATTTATTGGCTACACATTACAAAAGTGAAAGCAAATTTACATTGTCTGATTCCTTTTTATGTTTTGCTTGTTAAAGGCAGAACAGGACATAAAATGCTTCTTTTGCATTTTCAAACTAGAATATTCCAAATATCGAAAGAAATACAAAAATCAAACCCAGAAATAAATACAATGGAAGAAAAGATGTAACTGCATTTTATATATATATATATATATATATATATATATATATATTTTTAAGAAATTAATGGATTTTTTTAATCCAACATTATTTCTTATTAGTATAAAAGCTTCCCGTAGCTTAATGGTAAAGCACACTTAGCTTGAAAGTGGTTTCCCAGGTTAAAAAAGGGAATACAGGTTCGATTCCTGTCGGGAGGCACATTTTCTTTAGTAATACTTTTTATCTCTAGTCTGGTAGACAATAATTCCACTGTTTAAAAAAAAACACAGGGTTGTCTACTTAGACATGTACCTACTAAATATAGCATTTATGATAATAATAATATATATATATATACACACACACATACATAGTAAATCTTTTAAAAGATTCATATGTGATACTGATATGAAATACCTCTATATACAATGGGTATGTATACAGTATATATATATATATATATATATATATATATATATGTGTGTGTATGTATGTATGTGTGTGTGTGGAGAGGATGAAATGTGATGATAAATTTAATTTCAAAACCTCTTCATGTATGCAACCCTTTGAAATTAAATGGACCCTGATCTCTTATTTGTGATGGAAAATATCATTTGCTCAGATAAAGTGGTAGGTTTCACCTTGGAAGAGATCAGGGGTTGTTTTGTTTTTTCAGCCCCACCCCTCAGGAGACTTTTTTTCTTTTTACACTTTTACTTGTTCTTCTTTGTGAAAAGGAGATACTAAATATTATCATATCTTGAGATAATCAATACTTTTTTTTTTTTTTTTGGATTAAATTGGATTTTACTGTTCATCAAAAGAAAATGATTTTATGTGTGTCAATGTATGCCACTGTTTTTTTCTCTACTTAAAATTTTGCATGTTATATATATATATATATATATATATATATATATATATATATATATATATATATGTCACCCAAATGTATGTCTTATTACAACTTGAAATTTATATATTTATGTCTATGTATGTGTGTGTACACAGTTTCATATATATATATATATATATATATATATATATATATATATATATATATATATATAAAACTTAAAAGTATTTTAAAAAACTTTTAAAAAAAAGTAGTTGCTGTTTAGCATTTTTTTTGTCCTTAACTGCTATGAAAAATTTTTTCCTTACCAAAATTTTCAAAAAAAAAAACTAAAAAAAAAAAGCTGTAAAAGACTTGAAAAGAAAAAAAAAAACTTATAATTTCCTATTATTAAAAGAAACAGAAAATTCAGAGTGACTAGTCCCTTTATATCTATAAATTGTAGTACCCTCATTACCCAGTTCCTCTTTTAATTTACATATTTTTTTTCACAAATACTTGTAAAATAGTATTTCGTTATGACTTCAAAGGATCATTTTCGTCTCATAAATGACCTATACCAATGGTTTATCATAAAAAGTAAGTTTTTTCCCATTTTATGATAGACTTTTTAGATATATCTGTGCAGAGGTCATGCCACTTCAGAGAAAATGTTATTAATTACAACTGTTTGTTTATTTTCATATCAACATTTCAGAATTCCAAAATGTTGTTGTTATTGTTGGTGTTGTTGCTACTGTTGTCTTCTTAAGTTTGCATGAAACAATAACTGAATGTTATTTATCTATTCTTGAGTATGTCTATCTCATTTGAGCACTCATGTACATGCATAACATCATATACAAACATACCATCTCATGCACAGAGAAATGAACATATAAGTTAAACTTCCCTGTTAAATTCCTTATTTCTTTAATGGTTACATGCTATATTTTTGGCAAACCTTTTCTATTCTCTGCCCCACATGGTCAATTCATTCAAATATACCAATAAAATATTCAGTTAATATAATATGGTAAATATATACGACAATTTAGAAAATTCTTATTTTAACATGTTTCATTGGTGAAGCTGCATCATCAAAAAAATACGGATTTTATTTTGACCCAATCTACATTGATGAGAAAGAGAGAGAGAGAGAGAGCGCATGATTCATGTAAGTAATATGAATGCTGGATTTTTCTTTTTTTTTTTTTTTGTTTTAATTACTTT